CATGGCTTGGTTCATTAAAATCTTACATTGCAGATTTAGGATTGTCTCGAAAAAATGAAGAATATATTTTAAAAGATGGAATTTATGGAGTTATGCCTTATATTGCCTCTGAAGTTTTATTAGGTCGAAAACATATACCAGCAGCAGATATATATAGTTTTGGAGCAATTATGGCAGAAATAACAACTGGGATACCACCATTTTATGGATATTCATTTGACATTGATCTCGCGTTAAAAATTTGTAATGGAGAGAGACCCAAGTTTGCTTTAGGAACTCCTAAGTGCTATATTGAATTTGCTAAATTATGCATGCATTCAGATCCACAACAAAGACCTACCGCTGAAACAATCCGTTCTAAGCTTTCTGAATGGCATAATTTTATAAACCAACCAAATGAGTCTGATGATGAGTCTTATGAACTTTATGAACCTGACAAATTTAATAAATCTGATGAACTTGACTATAATTCTAATGAACTTAATGAATCTGACAAATTTGATGAATTTGATGAATACGACAAGTTTAATGAACTTAATGAATCCAATAAATCTAATAAATTTAATAAATCTGATAATCCTGATGAACTTTATGAATCTGATGAAAAATTAAAAATCATCAGTGAATTTATGGCTGCTGATATATATATTCAAGAACTTTCAATGACTTTACAACAATATCCTGATGTTAAATACAAAAGCAGATTGATTAATACTCTTGAAATTGCTCAACAATATAAAAAAAGAAATGACCAAATTAATATAACCGATGAAATTGGTGATTATATGCGCTATTTTAGCTTATTGTTAATGTTATTGTATTAGTATTAATATTTACTGCATAATATAGATTCCAAGGTTAATAGTTTTGAAATTCCGGCAATTAGCGTACTATAGGTTTACAGATAAGTAGGACGACTTTATTATTTTGCGACTCAGCAATTATTTAACTCAAATGGGCAAGGTAATTACTTACTACTGTAAAAAATATAAATGAAAATTAAATATAAGAAATGTTTTGCGCATGACTTTTTTTTATCAATTCGATGAGGCATAAAATAGCTCAATTTTGTAAAAATTTGTATCAAGATTTAACCCCTATTACATTTATACAAAGTTGTAGAAACTTTAAAATTAAATTATTTTATTATTATTTTTATAATTTATTAAGCAAAATCTGAACTTTATTTAGTAATAACTAAAAAAATTCTCTTTGAAAACATATAAATTTTTAAGAAACTTTTTAAAATTTTAATAATAAAATTAAAAAATAAGTTTTATTAAAAGTATAATATCTTTATCAAAATTAAAGATAGAATGTTAAAATTTAAAGATATTATTTATAAAAGAAATATCTTTAATTTTATTCAAAAAATAGAGGGTCAAGCTTAAAGAAATTTTAAGTAAATTTAAAAAAAATTTTTTAAAAATTATTTAAGTGATAAATTTGCTTGCTAGATAGTTTAAGAGATAATATTTATTATAGCATTATGTATTATAGCATTATAGCATTACAATATTATGATATTTTGATATTATAGTATTATGATATTATAGCATATAACATTTATAGCAATCAAATACTGTGCTATAATTAATTCTACCAACTGATAAAATGCTATAATGTTATAATTTAATTATATTTTTGCTTTTTATTTATAGGTATGCCTGATTGATAAAATATTACTATAATATTAAAATACTTTAGTATATAAAAAAGAATGTACTAATAATTGTAAATTGTTTAGAATCTAACTATCAGACAAAAAAAACAAGCAAACTTTATATGCAAATTCAATTTTTTAATACAATTCAAAAGATATATAATTAGTTAGTAAATTAAAAAAATTTTTTGTTTTAATTTTTGAATTTAAGTATATTAGCTATTATAATATTAGAATATTCTTATTGAATCTGAGCTATATTTGTATGAAAATTAATATAATATTAATTTTTTAGCATAGTGTATATTAAAAGATTTTAATATTTCAAAGATCTTATACTTATTTTTTATTTTAAATTTTATTTTGATAACAAATATGATCTATCAGTATTATTATTTATATATTCTTTTATTATTATAAATGCTAACATTAAAATATTTAATAGAACAAAAAATATAAGTACTATAGTACTTATTGTAGAAAAGTAAATCACTATTTCAAAATTATTTAGTCTATTATAGCACAAATTTTGAAAATTTTAATTTTAATAATTTTAAAATATAAAAGATGAATTTATTTCAACTAGTAAAATAGAAGCTATATACCAAACCAAGTTTCTAACTTTAACTAATATAAAATGTCTTTGGGCTACAGACCTTGCTTTTCTTTACTAAATTTTTGTAGAACTCAAAAATAAGCTTGAAAGAATATTGACCTTTAAGAAAAGACTGTTTTGTCTCATATCTTTACAACCACTGGTCCAATCTAATGATATGCAATTAGTATAACAAAAAGTTAATTTACTTTTGTAATAAATAAAATTTTAAAATAATATAGATTAACCAATAAGAAATGTAAAGAGATAATTCAAGAATTATAAATAGAAAAAATTAATCAAAATTATAAAAGTTATTTCATATAATTAAAAATATATGTATTTGATATTTATTTTAAATAAAAATATCTTTTAAAGTTTAATTTATTTAAAAGTTTTATAATTAATTATTTAGCTCTACTAATTCTTTCTGATAAACAAAATCTGTATTAATAATAAAAATTAATAATAAACTCTGTAACTTTATATTAATAGACTTGTAATATGTCTAAAGCTTTAATTGACTTTAGCTACTTAGACCAAATCTTTCTATATCTCAATCAAAGCTTTACTATTATAAAGTTTAGTTAAAGTAGTTTAGCTATATAAATATAATATTGTAGCATATTTTGTAATATAGAGTAATTTAATTATATTAGTATAATGTTGTAATATATTTTTGTAGTATAGAGTAATTTTTGCACTTCTACTATTTTTGTATAGTTATAAGGTCATTAATTATATTTTTGGTTTATTAGTCTATAAATTTTTTGTTTATATTTTTATTCAAATTATATAAATTTTTTATGCTTAATATATTTGCTATATAATATTTAAATTTTTGTTAAATAGTGATTTTATCTTGGTTAAAAGTTTTGGACTTTGTCAAATTATTTGCAAATTTGACCAAAGTTATAAGTACTATAATTAGTACTGATTTAATTTTAACCAAGATTAGCTATAATAAATAGTATTAATAAAAAACTTTTAATAATTTAATATTAATACTATGTACTAAAGTGCTGCTAGCACTTTTAAACATGTGTTAGGTTTGTAATAAGATTTATTAAATTACAAATCAAATTTCAAGATCAAGTACAATATAATCAAAAAATTTAAAACAAATATTTGTTTTGCTTATTTCTTAAAATTCTATATAAAACATTATTTTTAATATTCTAACTAAAGTTTTTGTTAAGCAATTTTACTATACAAACTATATTTCTCTAATCTATAACACAGCTCTATCTTTAATATAAATAAACTTTAAAGAATTTGTATTATACCAGAACCTTAATATATTTAAGCAATGCATTGTATTATATAAATTACAATTTTATATTATATATAAAATAAAATTTATATATAAAATATTAGATGTACAAAAGCTCTACTAGTATTATTGCATCATTTGATTTAAATATATGGGATCTTTGCTAGGAAAATCACCCTTCGACATTTTCCGATCGGGCTAATTCGGACAAATTTAACCAACA